GGCGGGGGGGGGACTGGGGGCCCGGCCCCCGACACCCTCGGCTCGCGGGCGGACCCAACTGCTCCACTGCCCCGGCCGCCAGCACCCAACCCCACTGCGCCTGCGCGCTGGGATCCCGGCTGGGCCCGCTCAACTGCACTCGCCAGAGGCGCGAGGCAGTCCTGGAGAGAACTACGCCTCCCGGCATGCCCCGCAGGACACAATGGCTGCCTCCCCCGCCGGCGCATTGCGCATGCGCCGCTTCCAAGCGAGGGGGCGAAAGGAAATGCAGGAAAAGGAAGGGGAGGAGAGGGGAGTAGGAAGTAATGTCACACGCTCCTGGGGGGGCGGTACTTCCGACCGCTGTACTTGTCTAGGGAACCCCGGCCCGCAGACCAGCCGAAAACAACGTCTCCCAGCAGGCCGCGCGGCCGCGAACGATAGCTTGGGGGCGGGGTGCGCGGCCTGCTGGGAGTCGCGGCGCATGCCGGGAGACTAGGGGACCGCTGTGAAGGGAGGGGCTGGCGCGCGGCGGGGAAGCGGCTATTGGGGCGGGGGGGGCATGGGCGGGGCGGCGCCGGCCCGGGGGGCGGCCGTCGGACCCGCAGGAGCTGTTGGAGCAGGTGGAGATGCAGATCGATGACGTAAGTCCTCCCTGCCCCACGGAGCCGCGGTGGCCTCCAGCACCCCCCTTTCCCCCAATCCCGAGCTGGGGAGAGGCGCTGAGGCCCGGCCCCCCTGCCGCAGGCCGCCTGCTCTCTCCCCAAGCTGCTGGAGGCCACGTCGGCGGTGTCGGCCCAAGTGGATGAGCTAGCCACCAAGTGTTCCGAAAACGCGCGGTTCCTGAAGACGTGGCGGGACCTGCTGAAGGAGGGCTACGAGTCCCTGAAACCCAGCGGCTGAGTGTGCCTGCGGGAGGGGAGCCGGGGCAGGAGCCGGGACCCCCTGCTGCCTGGGCCAGGCTGAGGACTGCGGCATTGGCAGCCCCCAGCCCGGCTGCTGGGAGGGGGGGATTTGGTGGGCGTGAGGCCAGCTTTTCGCCCTGTTGAGCAACCAACCAGCAGCCACGGGCCTCTCTTCCGAAGCTTTTCTCCTGGTGGCTCGGCTGTCCTCTCCCGGCAGCGAAGAGAAGAAACTTGGCTGTGTGCAGGTTGCTTCTCCAGAGAAAAGTCTAGCGCATGTGCCCTTGTCACTGACGCCGTGTGATCTGTGCGGGTAGCACTGCTCATTTAGGCCGAGCAACCACAACTTAAAACTAGTCTTTCTTCTTTGCAGCTCTGCTGGCCTAAGAAGCGCATACAACGTGGACCATTACCAGCTCCCTGGAGTGGTGGTCCTCTCCTGTTTACATGTGATGCATACAGAGAGAGGTTACTGTTTGGCCAAACTTGGAATTCCCTGGTTGGGGGCGGGGTGATCTCTTTTAGACAATCCTCTCTGTTTTGTTGGTCCTCTCAGGAATGTATGCAAGCCTTTAGCTGATAAGACTAGTCTTTTCTGGCTCCTGTTTAAATCGATAGAGACTTGGCCTGGTTTCTGCCCATACTTACCTTTGCAACACTATTCTTGTATCCCTATTTACCAGTGGGATAATGCAGGCCTAACCAAGTCTAGAAGTTGCACACTCCTCCAAGCTGTGACTAAATCACATCCTCCAAATCTGACAGTTGTCTTAGGTATTTTTTACTATCTCATTCTATATAGCTGCATTTTTTTTTTAATGGATCACTTATAGCAACTTTTTTTCTAAACCAATATTTTTATAAATTTTTATTACTAAAATATATTTAAAGTGCCTTATGGATCCTATATTATCCTGTGTTGTAGATTTGACTGTTTTGCATAGTAATAGGTGGGATAACTGTTCAAAGGACTATTTAAAGCTTCACTTCGGGAAAGGCCTGTGAATGTCTCTATTCTGCAATGATTTGTTGAGATAATATACTAAATTGGAATTTAGCCTTGCCTCAGACAGGTAGTAGTCTCTCTTAATCTGGCATGCTGCTGTAAACAGGATTTTTGGTCTAAGAAATCATGCCCTGATCCGTAAGAAAAAGCTTAATGTCATAGCTGCTTTACCTAGAAGCATACGGAAAAAACTCCAGAAATTAAGGGAGAAGCTATAGAAGGACCACATGCTGTGACTAAGTAACCAGTGATGTTTAATTTTTCAAAGGGGTTTTTAGTTTTTGAAAAAGTTGTAACCTTTTGTCTAAAGAATAAAGTGTTAAAACAAATCTTAACTATTTTTGCTGGTCTCTTTCCTAATCCCAGACTGAAAAGGAAGCTATTGAGGGTAAACACCATTCTTTTTCCTTAATTGTTTTTCTGATTGTTTGATCTTGAACTGGACTGTAGTATTAATCTTAAACTCTATAAAATTAGTAGACATAATATTAGTAGTAGATGAGGACAAAAATGTTCTGGTTGTTCACATCAAACATCTATTAATTTGTTTGCTATAAATACCCAGCACTTCGTAGGCTTCAGCCAGTATAGACTCTGTCAAAATATTATGCAGTTTTAAGGGAAGGTAATGGTTTTGGCACTTTTTAAGTTGTTTAATCACCCCCACTCCCAATAATTTAAAGAAGTACTGACTTCTTTTAATAATTTAAAAGAGCTGTTCAGCTGTCCCACTTCTGAGTGGCTAGGGGGCTTCACTGTGCCATTTGGGGGAGGAAGTTGGAGGAGGGAGAGGGGAGCCCAGTGGCAGCAGCAGCAGGAGCACTGAGGAAAGCTTGAAATCTATGAGAGTAACCCCTAGGTAAGAAATTTGACCTTAAGTTAGCTCATTGCAGGCCACCAGTTCAATAGGCCTGGCCTTGGGAGTGAAAATCTATGCATTTCTCCAAACTTCACTTAAACAATGCTTGTTTAAAATACAACTGTGGCATTGTTGGCCCCCAAACTTGCTATTGGGAACTTTGAAAGTGAGGGGAGTTAGCTGATTTCAGGCCAGCTATATACCGTGGTGCTGGGTACTTAAGAATTGCTTACAGGGCTGTCTTTGTAAGCAACTAACTCCTATAGATTTTTTTTTTTTTTTTTTTTTTTTTTTTTTTAAAGCTTGTCCCAGTAGTTTTCTGATGGCTGCTTCTCCTACACTGCTTCTGGCAGCTAATTGAGGAACACTTCATTACATAGTAGATTGTTATGCTGAATGATGTTATAAGGTAACCAATCTCTATATAACCGGCAACAGATTGAACCTGGCACAATGCTCTTACTCTGTAAGCATGTAGGTGGAAAATACTGAAAAGCAAAAAGGTAGTTGTATTGGCTATCTTTTTTTTTTTTTAAAGGAAATTGTTCACGTTGACCAACAAGTAATGCTTTCTTCCAAATAAAACAACATGTACAGTAATGGAAACTTAAACTGTTTTGTATTTTATTCAAGATACTCCCAAGATTCTGTAAACAGTGAAGTGTGAATTGCACACTTCTTATTCTACATCTTACTTTTGTAATAAGTTAAGTGCAAATGTTTTAAAAACACATTCTCACCTTTTTTAAATAAGTTTCAATTTTTTTTGTTGCAAAAATGCATTTCTGCCCTTCTGTCCAATGAACTCACATGGCTAAAATGAGTTAGTCCCCTGAGCCAGCAGTCTCCGTTGTATGGAACTTGAAAAGTGCGTCTTATGAGTAGAAGGAAAAGCCTGTTTGTATCAGTTGGGATCTCATAAAAATGTGAGCTCATCTTTGAACCTTTGTGAATATTCAGAGAGAGGACTCATTTTCGTCTTGTGTCCAGTACTCTGCAAATAACCTATCTGTAAAACTTCAGGAAAATACTGCAAAAGAAACATTGTTGGGAGCTGCCTGACTCTGAATTAATCTCTCTGTTCATGAAAATAGAGGACTGTATCCACAAAGGGACCTAAACATTGCAATACGCACTTCTTAAGTGCTCTATTCCCCACTAAAATTCACACCTCCAATTTAGGCACCTAGGCACTCTGCATTGCAGAGACTTAGTGTGTCCATGTGGCACAAGGCAGTATTGTGCAGAGATGATCCTTGTTAGTTCTACAGCTGGAAGCAGTGTGGGCTTATTAGTTTATGTGCAATGCTGGCTGTAATGCAGCCATATGCTACTGTTTGGTTAGGGAGCTAATGTGCTTCAACTACCCCTCTGCAGTGGTGCCCTGTAATGTATCTATGTACCTATATGGCCCTAAAATCCAGGATTAAAATAAATTGGGGAAGTACTGAGGGGAGCTAAGTTAGCCATGGGGGAGAGGAGTAGGCACATCTGTCAAAAAACAAGCACTCTAGCCTGGCCTGTCCAGCTGTGAATTTTCTCCTGGAGTTGGGTGGCTAAGCTAACTCAGTCTTATTATGAAAGATCCCTCCTTTTTATGCTCAATAGACCAGCAGTAAGTGAACTCGGATTTGGAGTAGAGTCTTAAATCCAGGTATCTGACACGAGTTTCCTAGCAGTAGGCTGTTCAGTATTCTGGGCAGAGTCATAGTTTTTGCTCAATAGAGACAAAAAAGCAAGAGATTGACTCTGTTGACTAGTGATTAGGGCCTTTACCAGAGATGTGGGAAAGTGTTTACAATTCCCTGCTTCAGTGCTTATTCTATGCGAAACAGAACTTCACCAAGAGAAATTAAGAAACTTTCTAGAATACCCATTAGACTAGCGTGTTTGGCAATTTCCAGATGCGAGGGACCAAGCTTCAAGTTCCTGTTCCAAATCAGGTAGAGTGGGAGGAGCAAAGTCACCCACATTTGAAGAAAGTACTCTCACCACTGGGATGCTGAATAGATTGGATGCATACTTGGAAGTCTTGTGCTTGTCTGTTTTTACAGGGCTCACTTTGGTTGGTGTAATTGAGGCTGCCCCTGCTTCTTGGGCTTTGTTGGTACAGGAGGCATGGAATGCCTAGTTTGAGTTCCTGATGGTATCTGCGCATAAGCTGGGACACTGAGCAGCTCTGGCATCAAAACTATGGTAGTTTAGTGTAAGACCACCTGTAGGATCACACCTATTTACAAAGCTAGGCAGGACCCAAGCCAACTTTTTAAGGGTACTTAAATGTTGAACTTAATTTCCCAGAGTGACAATAAGGCATCTCCCAAGGGCTTGATGAACACCTTAACAATATTACATTTTAGAATTTTGAAAGGTAGATGTGACACTAAGTTTTAATCTCTTGTTTGTCTTCTGCTCCTGCCAAAAGTAAAAACTAACTCATTAATATAAATGTATTTTCCCTATGGCTGTTGCTCCCTACATCTCTTCAAAAATGTTTGTAACCTAAATAGAGCTGGTTAGGATTTTTAATTTCTTTTTGTTTTGTAAAAAAGAATAAAAAGATTATAATTAACAGCATTTAAAAATATTTAAATAAAACTGATCTCATTAGCCTTAATTCAAGATATCCTCAGGTTATTGATTCACAAGTTGTTCTTATTTTTTAGATTGCATTTTCATCCTGATTCAGGACTGAAAATTTTCCAAATCTCAAAAATTCTCATGACAGGAAAATTGTTTTTGCAACCAGCCCTGTTAGCCCACAAGCTTTTGTCATCTTTTTTTTCAATTTGACTTTTGGGCTGTCACTAGTGTGAACCAATATTTTATAACTTCCCTCTTGTTTTCCTCACTGCTATAAAGCAATAGATCCACATCTGTGAAGCTGACTGCAAATTTCACTGTAAATATTCAAAATACTTATGTGTATGAATTCAGTCTGGTTGATAGCGTTGACTGTGAAACTGATGTTTCAGAGCAGTCTGTATAAAGAACAGGCTTTGTTGAGTTGGGTGTAATTTCTTGCATTGGCCACATCTCAACCCAGATGAATGATGGACCATGTGTCTTCTGACTGCTCTTGCTTCCTATGGATCTTCTTTGTTTGTAATTATGCCAAACCTGGTGTATCATTTCTTTGAAAGGCCTTGTAGTCAGAGTGTAGAGGAGAGGATTCAAAGCACTGTTTATTGGCAGTATAAAAATCACCACCCAGGAAGTTATAGTACCTTTAGGGGAAAGAGAAAGGAAAATGTAATAGGCAAAAGCACTTGTACCCATTAACAGTACTAACACTACACCCATGCATCACACTCCATCTGTTAACCTGACTTCTTAGGTCTGTAAGCACTTTGCATTCTTCCTTTCACACCACCAGCTTTCCCTAGTTCCCTGAAACTTGCTCCAATATTCACCCTGCAAGGGCTTCACCTTTACCCAGTCCTCCCCCAGAGTGCCTCTGTGCACCACCAAGTTCCCCCTCATCCCCATTTCTCACCTCTTCCTTTATATCAGAGTCCACTGATTTTTCTTCCCTGCCAGCAATGCTGTGTTCACTACCATTCCCTAGTCCACTGGAAGGGTTGTCTGTGCACCTTTTCTCCCATACCAAGGTCCCCTAAGCTCTCCTACCAAGTGTTCCTTGCCTCAGTCCTCCATAGCAGTAACTGTGAAGTGCTTATTCCTCTATTTTCTTCATGGTCTCTCCATCCTCACAACCAGAGTCTCATGTTTCTCACATTTCCTCCCTCTTACACCAAGCAAAAGGCTTTATGTAGTCCCACTCATCCCTTATATCTTTTGGTGAGGGCTCTGTGATTGCATCAGGACCCCTGTTTTCTCTCTTCTTTACTAAGAATCATGTGCGTGGCCTCATTCCCTCTTCCATGTTATTTCTTTGGCAGCCAAGTCATTCAGGGCATCAATACATTCAACTGCTGCGGGGCTCAGTAACCAAGCAGCCCATGAAGACTGGATATAACCTGCAGCAGTTCAGCAAGTCAGCAGCATTCTCCAGCTGCATGGGAGTCTCTGAGGTCCTACTGACTGCCTTTTTCTATCGGTTTCTTCTGCAGCATCTGCTGATCACCAGGGGGTATAGAGATTTGTGGCCCATGGCAGGGGCTGCATCTGGGTTGCAAGCAGCAGCCCGTGGTGGCAAAAGGTTGCCAACCACTATTTTACTGGTTGATGGGCAAAGAGGACATAGGTGTATTGGGTTGGAAGATGTTAACGAGTGTCCTCTTGTTATCTTGGAGCCTACAGTTGCTGGGGCATCCTTTATACTAAAGTGATTTTTGTGAAGTAGTATGTGATCCCTTTGTAAAGAACTTAAATCAAGTTCTACCCTGTACTGGTATAACAAATGGAAGAAAAAATTTCTAAGATTAAATGTTTAACT